TTCCCCTCCTCCTCCTCCCTCAGTGCAGTGATTGTAGCTTCTTCTTCATCTCTGAGAAACTGATGAAGCTTCTCAAACTGCTGTTTAATCTGACGCTCTGTGTGCTCAGCTTCAGACTGAAATCAAACCACATTCACTTCAATCATATGAATGAACAAAAATCAACACCAAAAACATCACCTACACCACCAGTCAAATGACTGAAAACATTTTGGCAAGATTTTTTTTTATCTAAATGTTTGAATGTCTTAACAAATCAAGTTGTTCTGTTTCCTCACCATGATGTGTTGAACCATTTCTTCAAATTTTCCTTTAATGTTTTCTTTGTATTTAAGTTTCCCTTGTAAGGACTTCAGAGCTGTTTTGAGCTCTTCCTAGAATTGAACAAAATTAAAATAAAACACCAACTGCTAAGAGAACTGGACAGGAAATTGGAACCCCTGATATAAAGAAAATATTAAGTACACAAATACGATGATATCTCTTTATGACCATTTATTGTTCTTTATACATGAGATGAGACATTTGTCTTACCTTGTATGATGAAACCACTTCACTTATTGGTCTGAATTTATGATTGTCGTGTTGTTGTGAATCTCTGCACACTAAACACACAGGCTGTTTGTCCTCCAGACAGAAGAGTTTGAGTTTCTCACTGTGTAAACTGCAGATCTCCTCAGATCCTGATGAATGCCTCTCATTTCTCTCCTTCAGAAATGACTCACACAAGTTTTTTAACACACGGTTACATGGAGGATCATCTCTCGAGGATCTTCTCCTGCAGAGAGGACACTCTTGAGTTTCCTTGGTTCTCCAGAACTTTTGAAGACACTCTTTACAGAAAGTGTGACTACATGATAAAAGAACAGGATCCTTAAAGATTTCACAGCACACGGGACAGTTATAATCATATTCAGCTAGTGAATCCATTTTCACTGTTTGAGCTCCAGCAAAACTTTAGTTTCACTTTCTGAATGATGGTTTCCGAAGTAAAGAGAGAGAGAGAGAGAGAGAGAGAGAAAATCAAGAGAAAAATATCTGCTGTCTGTTCAGAAACAAACTTTTCAAATATCCTTCTTGAAAGTCTTAATTCTTTATTAAGAATTAATAAAGATTATTGATTGATGTGTCTTTTTTGCTTTTGTCAAGAGAGAAGAGTCAGTATGACAGAAAGGAGAAGTCAGTCTCTTGCTGGTAGGTGTTGTAAGAAGGTGGAGTTTCTGATAATTATCCAGTCTGTTAAAACTGTCACGAATCCGGTCTATGAACTTCAACTTCACTCACCACCAGAGGTCACCCTTCCATTACATTGACTCTTGCACTACACACACTGTTGCATGTCATCCCGGACTACATATCCCATCATCCATTGCACTGATTGCACACAGCACTGATTGCACACAGCTGTAACCAATCACACAATCACTATATAACACTCACTCTGATCCATTTCAAACTGCCGAGTATTGTTTAGCGCTTATTGTGTGATAGCTACTTTACGGAGCCTTTTCCCTGGTGTTAGTTTCTAGTTCTAGTTCTAGTTCTAGTTCTAGTCTCGCTGTGTTTTCTGTTTTCCTGGTACCTGATTTTTGCCTGTTTATCTTAAGTTAACCCTTTGCCTGCTGTTTCGGACTGTGTTTGCACCTCGCCTGGACTCTAGCTCGTGTTATTGGATAACCCCTCATGTCAAGCCCACTGGATATTGTTAGCCGCTTATCGACCACGCCCGTTTTGGATTACTCTTCTGTCTTGCCCTCAATATACCTGTTTGCCATTGTCTGACCCATGCCTGTTTTATGACCACGTCTCTGTCTCCTATTAAAGCTTTGCAAATGGATCCGCAAGTCTCATGTCTCGTTCGCCCCGTAACAAAAACAAGTCAAACAAACCATCAGGATTTCCTAAGGTTAAACACGATGCACTCAAAATTAGCACAGTGAAACTTAAGCCCTTGAATCAAACAGAAATATTCATTATTCAATATTCAATCAGGGCTCAGTGCTTAAACCACTTCTGTTCTCTATCTACATGACATCACTAGGTTCTGCCATTTGGAAACATTGCTTTCCCTATCACATACAGTATGTCACTCCTCTCTACATCAGCTAACACTGGTTGCCAAAAGCCACTCCCATTAAATGTAAGGCACTGATGTTTACCTACAGGACAAACACTGGCTCTGCACCCCCATAATTAAACTCACTACTTCAGACATATGTGCAATTACATTTACATTTTACATTTACTCATTTGGCAGATACCTCAAACGCAGCTTGCACTTGAGGAATACAGCAAGGGATTCCTTCAAGATAGTAGAAGCTAGAACAGGGTGATGGACAAAACGAACACAGCGCACAAGTAAATTACAGCAGTGTGAGCACAGTGACAAAGATTGCATGTAAAATGTACAACATGTAAAACAAAGCAGCGAGCCCTGACAGGTCAAGCACACACAGAACTGACCACAAGCACAAGTTCTGCACGCGCGCACAGATCAGAACAGATGCAGGAGCTGAAATTCTTCATGCACAAGCCAAGAGTCAGTTTCGCCACTCAGGGGCGGGGCCTAAACCTTTATGTTAATGATTGCTATTGGCTTCTGACAAGAAGTGGCTTATTTGCAACTTGTTGCTTTTATGAGATTAATGCCAGGTTCGCACAACATGATTTTAGACACGATTTTCACTCACAGACAGTTTTGTGGAAATCGCAGACAAATGCCCGAAATTGGAGACAAGTCTGTGTTTTTTTAATTATTTTTTAAATTATATTTTCAGAGCTTTTATGCCTTTATTGTTGGTATGACAGTGGAGATACGACAGAAAAGCATATGACATAGAGTGGGAAGCAGGATCAGCAATGGACCACAAGTCAGGAATCAAACATGGGTCACACTAACCTCAAGGCCATCAGCGTCGACAAATCTGTGCTTGTTTACGCGAGTGACAATCGCACAGTTTGTGTTATCAAAGACGTGATCTGACAGAAGCACCCACACATCGCAGATACCCATGAGATATTTGGCATGCTAAATATATGGACTCATCGGGGATTCACAGTCCTGCAGTGTGTAATGTGTTTAGACTGGAAATGGCATCGACAACGACCTACTGTACAGCCAGCAACGACCCACAGCCAATGAGAGAGCAAGATAGAGGGCAAGGGAAAGTTCAGGGGGAGGAGTCATAATAGACCTGCAACAGAACATCATCAATCAGCCATTCTCTCCTTCATATTCTTCTTTGTTTTTTTTTTTCCGTTTTTTTATTTTTCACTGCTAATCAGTGTACAGACAACTTGGATTCCAAGCTTTTTGTGGGCTACTGTTTTTGAAAGGAATAAATCCATTCTCACGCATGTTATTCCCCACATCATTTTCGGGTGTGTTTGGTTGTGAAATATATTTTCATGAATTTGCACTCCCATATAATCAGATTGACCAAATAGTAAGCATATTTGGCTTGCTGTCCAAGGGGAGGACTCCGAGCTCCAAATTTAGGCCGAACCCAGAGAACTCCCCCAAATCCCCAAGCTGGGATATAGGAATAGTTAGGAGTGAGGAGTTGGGGTGGAGGAGGGATGCCGGAAAATCTGTCATGGGACAGAGGTATGTTGCTGTATATATTTACTAATTAAGTTGCTTGTCTGAACATGCTTCACCTTTGCTGAATTGGTTGATTATCTGAATGTGCTCCTCCTAACCCTTACCAAAAAGTAGTATACTTCAAGTTTATTTTAGTAAGTATACTTAAGTAAAGTTCAAGTATATTTTTAAGTATACTTTATGTAGTAAGTATACAAATATCAGTGTACTAGTAGTATACTTGTAAGTGTACTATTTCAATACTCCTTGGGACTAAATTGGCCCACTTTCTAGTATATAAAAGTATACTTTTAAGTATAACAGTAGTAAACTTTGAGTACACAACTAGTTTACATCAAAATGTTTAGTTTGTACTGCAACTATACTGAAAGTGAACTTATAGGTATACTGATAGTTTACTAATTAAATACTTGTAGTAGCATTTTTAGTACACTTTGAAGTATAGTCTCAGTAAACTACTAGTTTAGTAGTTTTATACTGCAAGTATACTCGTAAGTTTTCTTTAAGTGAACTTTACATCATACTTTAAGTTTACTACTATGTCCCTATTTAGGTATTAATTTGTATATTTTGTTACATGAATATCTGAACATACAAAACATCAAAAGAACAGGGTATCTGCTTGTAAACAAAAACATTTTTTTCTAGCTTCATGCATTCTTTTTTTAAACACTTGAATGTGGATAAGTTTCATAAATAAAAAATAAAGAAATAAACAACATTTTGAACAAAAAGCTGAAAAAAAGACTATGAATTGGATTCAGAACGATAATCAAAACGAAGATGGGGTCGATCAACACCCCAAAGCTTGACAGTTATTATTACCTCTTCATTGGTCGACATTTTATTCCATAATGTTACATAGTTTTGATGCTGTTTTATGTCTGATGATCGTGTTACTTCTGTTTCGGTTTCTTCTTCACTTGTGTTTTTTGGAAATTCTGCACAGAAGATGTGTACTAGCGCCCTCTACAGTATAACAATGAAAACACGGATTCCCAGAGCACAATCATAGCTAAGATATATTTAGACTTTTCCTAAGTATACGTCAAGTATACTTAAATGTCATTTTAAGTATATTTCTGAGAAGTACATAAAGCCCATTTCTGAGAAGTACATAAAAAGTAGACTAAAAGTATACTTTCCTATTTTTAGTTTAAAAGAAGTATACTAATAGCACACTTAAATAAACTTCTTTTTCGTAAGGGAAATTTTGTTAATAAAACATCATTTGTGGACAATGCAGAGTTGTAAGTGATTCTTCCTGTTGAAAAGTTGTGTAATTTGTGAGCCCCTGTCGCCGATCCGTTGTGTAGTGTGTACAGAGTCAGCAGAACTGAAGGATAAAAATGAATCATTTAATGGTTGATGCATCATCATCATCAAAAAAATACAATACAATATTACAATAAATCCTATCAGAAGATACCATTTTAAATGTGTACATATGCCAAATTATTTTTTCTACAGTATATGAGAGATAATAGTGCACAAAAAACAGCCTGAAAAATCTGATGATCTAAAAGTAGCAGAAGCATTGAGCTTTCAGAAAACGACAAATCCTGTTGGACGAGATGTTAGAGATGTCTTTAACTGTGGTCAGAAAAAACTATGCACACAATGTTCCAGTAGGCTAATGCAGAAACTAAACAATTTATTTTAAACAAACTGAGTCAGCAAAAGAGAAATGACAGATTTGTGTATTATGAACATACAGGAAAATACAAAGCTTTTGACATACAGAAGTTTGAAAACCCTTTAAAAATATCTAGCTCATTCAGTAGTGGAAGATACGCCTCATGACATCATCATTCTGCGAAGTAAAAAAGCCTGTAGAATATCTGGATTAAGAATATGTAAAACATCTGGATTGTTTAATCGTCTAGACAGTTTCACCGCTGTCTGTCTATCAAACCCAAACACAGCATACAGTGGCTGAGTGAATGTGGTCTGGACTCTCTGGATGAGACTCATTGTGTCAGAGACGCTGTAGAAGGACAAAATCCCTGCACTGTGATCCACATACACTCCTATTCTACTGCTGGACACTGCAGAAAGTTTAGTCTCTATGTTACTGTGCCAGAATGAGCAGTAGTCTGGAGAGCAGAACAAACTCCAGGACTGATTGTTACGTCCAACTGCACTCTCAGGACCATTTCCCTTCCTGCTGATGCTCTTATATGTCACTCCTATATCTACTCCTGATCCCCCATCACCAGCCCACTCCACCTCCCAGTAACATCGTCCAGTCACACTCTCCCTACACAGCGCCATGGTCCAAGAATCAAATCGGTCTGGATGATCAGGATATGGCAGACGTGTGTCAGAGTAAGTGATCACTGTGTTTTCTTCAAACAGACGGAGCCCATAATTCACTGAGTTCAGATCCAGAGTCAACAGACGGGAATCTGATGGAGATAAATACATAATTACTCATGACTTTACATCAATAATATAACATATTAATGGGTCTCTTCATTAGTATCATCATTTCATAATAATTATAATTGGGCATGTCTCTCTGACTCTGACTGAAGTAATTGATCAATCATAAAAAAGCCCATTGATTTCCTTATTTTACGTGAAAATTTTTTTTATTCATCTTGCAAATTTATGAAAAACTAATATTACTGTACAGATCTATGCAAAATATTGTCTGCTGATTTTAATTCTGCTCCATGAACACAGTCAAATCTCATTCAAAAGATAAATTCGAACTCTGTCATAGGACAAATAAGAGCATTTCACATCAAAGCTAGCTTATGTTATTCATTTAGGGGTTAAATGAAATTCCAGATATGAGACAAGTAATATACTGTTTGCGAATGCCACACTGATGAGAGTGGCACATATGATATGCAAATCAATTTGTACGAATTTGTATGAATAAGCCACCTTCCCATGAGATCAGGTTGGAATACACACATTGAATCACTCTTGCGGTACTTTTATGGAATACGTCACACACAGTGACATGGCATCGGCACGTCTCAAGTTGGACAAATTTTCTAACCAGCATGCACTGCTTCAAGTCGATCGGTCTGCATAGCGGCACATGACGTTGAATGCACTTAAGGTGCAGTAAGTGATTGATAAAAAACACTGTTGATATTTGAAATCATCAAAACAAACACACCCCTACCAAAGGATCACGTCCTTATTTTAATAACTCCACCCCCAAATTCACAAACATGCTATGCAACATAGGCACCTCCTCCATCATGAGTTTTACTGGAATGAACCCCGGGTAAGATCATCATCAATTAGCACAGAAAGTCTCCCAGTGATCACAAGTGTTTGTGTGTATTTTCATTGTAACTCACATTGTAGGAACTCCTTCCTAGTCGTAAGCTGATGACTCGGGACAATGACCTGGACGGTTTTCACTATTAACACCAAAGAACATCTGTGCATCAGTGCAAACCCTTTAATTCCCAAGTCAAGAATAAAGGTACTACCATTTTATGTTTAATGAACAGTGCTCAACTCTTTTCTGAGTAAAACAGCATTACCTGTTTTAGATAACCTTTCTATTTCATCTGTGCAGAACTGCTGCAGTTTATTTCTGAGCTGAGAGACAGACTTCACTACCTCATCAAAATTGGGACGAGAACTGACAGTGAAGCTGTCTGTAGATCCAGAGAGAGAGACAGACGGGCAACTCTATAGACACAAAGACAAAAACATTAACTCTGTGCAATTAGAGAAGCCTGTAGTCTTTAGTCCTATGTTTAAAGGGTTAGTTCACTCAAAAATGAAAATTAGCCTGTGTTTTACTGACCCTCAAGCCATTCTAGGTGTATATGACTTTCTTCTTTCAGACGAATCCAATCGGAGTTATATAAAAAATTGTCCTAGCTCTTCTAAGCTCTATCATTGTAGTGTTTTTGTTTAACAGTTCAAAACAAGTTAAATACAGTGTCTGGATCCATAATATAACGTGCCTCACACGGCTCCGGGGCATGCATAAAGGCCTCCTGTAGCGAATCCATTGGTTTTTGTAAGAAAAATTTACATATTTCAAATGTAATAAACCCTTTTCTTTCACTTCTGCTGACTGTCGTATGCGGAAGCATTCCGGCAGATGACGTAGAACGTATGCGTCACGCGCGCGCCTCTGAGATATGCTAGTCTCATTAGTTTGTCTCACAAGTCTCCTCTTGGCTTATATCGAAATCCTCCGACATTTTTCTTTACAAATACTCGTTTTGTGCTTCTAATTCATGACCGGCGTTTTGTTTTGTTCTCTCTCCGCGTTCGTCACTATTCACGCAATGCCGACATCCTACACCATCTGCCGGAACTGCTTCCGCGTATGACAGATAGCGGAAGTGATAGAAAAGTGTTTATTACGTTTGAAATATGGACATTTTTCTGACAAAAACGCATGGATTCGCTACAGGAGGCCTTCATTCACCCCCCGGAGCCATGTGAGGAACGTTTTATTATGGATGTGCGCACTTTATTTAACGTGTTTTGGACTGTTGAATAATGATAGATCAAATACAATGATAGAGCCTGGGGGGGGGTAAAACACAGGTGAAGTAACCCTTTAAGAAGATCTCTGTTACCTGGAGGAAATGAATATGATCATCTGTGTTTGAAAGCTGTTTCAGTTCAGTCCCTTTCCACCTCAGATCATCAATCTCCAGCTCCAGTCGCGCCAGTCTTTGTTCAGCTTGTTTCACTGCAGCTTGTTCCTGATCTCTGATCAGCTGCTTCACCTCAGTGCGACGTTTCTCAATGGAGCGAATGAGATCAGTGAAGATCCTCTCACTGTCCTCCACTGCTGTCTGTGCAGAGTGCTGTTATAGTACACACAATTACAATCAGCTCTTAATGGTACCTCACACAGACATAGAGCTCCAGTGTTAACAAAAAAATTTTTTTTTAAATAAAACATGGTTCAAAACATATTAATCTGATTATCAATTTCAGTTTGGAGTACTGCAAGGCTCAGTACTAGGACCATTGCTTTTCACCCTGTATATGTTACCATTAGGATATCATTAGGAAACATCTATATTTAGCTCTATATTTCTTTGCTGCCTGACGAAAAATACAAATTCCAATGACTAACGGAATGAAATAGTTGATATAAAAAATTGGATGACTAGTACTTTCCTACAACTAAATTCTAAAATAATAGATGTTTTAATTATTGGGAAAAAAACACAGCACATAGCATATCTTCATAGTCCTTCACATCTATTGCGGTCTCAAAATTCTGGCCACTTGATAATATGTACAATATCAAAACCAACGGTATCAAAATAATTTTATGCAAAGCTTCTTTGAAATGATGTGTATTGTGATAAGCACTATACAATGAAATGTGAACCGTGGGCGGTAGATCCTTTTCCTATAGCGCCGAAACTCTCATCTCCTCTCTTTGACCTGGCATACACATAACACACTATCACATTTCTATAAATTTAAAATTTAAACTGTCTCTTATCACAAGTTTACCACAGTCAGCCAGATCTGGGTCATATCCAGATTAGATGGTGGACCTGCACCTACACCAAGACAAGACCCTCTTTATTCCACTTTCATGGACTGACAGTGCAGTGCAAATTTCACCCCTTTTTTGTGTGTGTTTTCATGTTCTAGCTTAAGTTTAGAAATGTACAGTGCATTTTGTTTTATTAAGATGTGATTTACTATAAGACTCGTGCAGTTGGTATAAAAAAAAAAAGATAAATAATTTTTAATAAGCCTTTCACTGAAAGGTTCTTCAGGGAATTGAAAGTTCTTCTACAGCATTAGGTGCTTTTGCACCATGTAGATTTAAGAACTTAGTTATAGGAAGCCAGCAGGGTCGTTCCTAGAGAACCAATTTCTCCCTCGGGCCGTTTTCCTGGTTGCATTCACACCGGAGAAACTGTGAAGCATCCAACAGCGACTTCTTTATTCGCGGCATTTACAAACGTCAAAAACCAGTGAATGGAGGACGCTGTGTTTGAAGCCATTTTTGTTGTGTGTTGTAGGTTTTCGTGATAACAGAGATGGAATGTAAACGCACAATTTACACGATTGAAAGAATACATTCCTAGTTCCTGCGGTGCGAACAAGCCAAAAAGCGTTAACTTCCGCCAATAGTTCTAGAAACTTTGAAAAGGTTCCTCCGGTGCGAAAGCACCTATTGTTTCTTCCTGGCACCTTTATTTTAGGAGTGTGAAGGACTCTTCTCAAGCTTATCCAAACTCACCTTATGAGACTCCATAGCCTCTCTCATCTGCTTTAGATCTATCTTTCTCTGCTGGATTGTTTTCTGGATGTTTCGCTGTGTTTCCTCAAAATGTCTCTGCAGAAAACAGATATATCTATATTTATAATCTATATATATAATTAAATGAATAAATGTTTTTGTAAACATGTCTCTTGTTAGTCACTTAAGTCTGACTTTATTTGATGAAAAACATGTCTATCTTTGTAAAACACAATCAGTTTCCCTGATTGAGAGAAAAATCATATACCAAATGAAGAGAGAAACAACATTAACTGTCACTTAAGAGATCCAGTATGGCGCAGTACCTGTTTCTCTGCTCTTGCCACTCCAGTTGATACAGTGTCATGATGTTTGTGTTCGTCCACCAAACACAGCATACAGATACATCGCTGGTCTGTATGGCAGTAAATCTCCAGCATTTTACCATGTTGAGGGCACATCATGTCCTGCAGTCGTCCAGTGGCGTCCATCAAATTGTGTTTATTACCTCTGAAGAGATTCTCATGCTGTTCAAGGTGATTTTGACAGTAAGAGCTTCGACACTCCAGACATGATTTCACTGCTTTCTGTTTATTTACAGTGCAGGAGTCGCACTGAACATCTCCAGACCCAGTGCGATGAACTACAGGAGCAGCAGGAGTAGCAGGAACAGGAGTGGATTGGAGTCTCATTGTCTTGAGTTTCTCCACCATTTCAGCAAACACCACATTCTTACCCAAAACAGGTCTTGGTGTGAAGGTTTTTCTGCACTGAGGACATCTGTAGATTCCTTTCCAATCCTCCTGGTCCCAGTAGTCTGTGATGCATCTCATACAGTAACTGTGTCCACAGGGAATCGTCACTGGATCCTTCAGGAGATCCAGACACACTGGACAGCAGAACTGATCTTCAGCCCATGAGATACTGGCTTCTGCCATTTCACTGTATATGAACACAGACAGAGAGATGATATGCACTGGAGCTCAACAGTTGAGTTCCTTCTTTTAAGGGAAAGGGTTTATATATCTTCCTGATTACATACATGAGAAACAGGTTTTTCTGCAGGGTGTGACTTACTGTAACTTTTTGTTTAATGACTACACTGTTTAGATGACAAAGTGGTTTAAAATACAGGAAACTGATTATGAACTCTGCATTCTACTTTATTTGGTTCTAATAGTACTAGCATCACAAACTACACCACACAATAATATAAATTATGTTACGGCACAATATCATAACTGAATCATGATTGAGACTGCGGCAAACATGAGAGAGACTCACTGATGTCCACTAGATCGATTCATCATGTACATAGAAAATATCAACTATATCAATACATGGAATCACATAGTGAACATTTAAAGATGCTATATATCCAAATACAGAAGCTGTGACATATTCATTTTATCATGCTATTATTAATTATGATTAATTAAAAATAATTTATAAAACGATTCATCTTTTTCAACACAAACAAGCACAATGTGGAAAAATAATCTTAAAATAATCGAAATAATCTTCCATTTTTCTTTTTAGAAAGTAGAACAAGCACTGAACTTTTAGGAAAGTTTATGTTTAGGAATGTGGTTGGATGAGATCTGAAACGAAGGCAGAGAAACTATGAACACAATGTTCCGGTAAAACGGAAGTATGCACTATAAACACAAACAAGTTTGTTCTATAAACATGGTAATGTGTTTATACTCGATCCACTCCTTGCACTGTCTAGTCTCGTTGATCTCACTTCAAGATCATTTACCTGGACGCCTTGCTAGTCTCTGGACTCCTTGCAAGTTTGCTGTCTTTGCCAGCCTTCTTCCTGTCTTCGCCATGTGCCACTCCTAGGAAGGAAAAGGTACATTGTTTAAATTCTGTTACCAGCCAAGTTACCCACTCAGATTATGAGATACTTACCTGCTGCCTTGCATCGCTTCACTCCTACTGAAAACCTGTTTAATAAAGAACCCTGTTGCACTTACCTGAGTCTCTCCTCTTCTGTCCGTGACAATTTTACTTTAATACAATGCCAGACAATTTTTTGAGTGCCCCCGATTCTATAAATATTTTACCTATAGGGTGGGGGTGCCCAAACCTGCTCCCGAAGGGCCACTGTTCTGCACAGTTTAACCTTAATTAAACAGACTTGAACTAATCAAGGCCTTCAGACTCATTGCACAGCAAAAAAAAAAAAAAAAGTATTAAATTAACTCAATTAATTTAACTCCATTAGAGTTTGAGTTAGGGATGTCTCCACAATAATTAATCAAGAAAAAAAAATCTATGCTTGACAAGTGTGAGTTTTCACAATTCCTTATGACAATGAATTTCAAGCTCTTATTAGTGAGACTGGTAATTGGAATTGGAGTAATTGGAGACAGAATCTTTTTCATCAGCCAGTTGATTCGAGAGGCCAAACAGAAGAAAGGCAATTTAACAGTGGTCTGGTTGGATCTAACGAATGCTTATGGATCTATTCCACATGACCTCATCCAGCTTGGACTCGACCATTACTACATCCCAGCTGTTATTAAAGAACTGGTCATCAGCTATCTAGGGAGATTAAACTGAGGTTTATATCAGCCCAGTGGACAACCAACTGGCAGGATCTCCAGAAGGGAATCCCAACTGATGTACAATCTCCCCTACCCTCTTTATCATGGGCATGAACCTTCTAATAACAGCAGCAGAAGGCATAACCTGTGGCCCCATCCTGGAGTAAGGCGTTATTCAGCCAGTGCTTCAGGGTTTTATGGATGATCTAACAATAACAACTGTGACACATGTTCAAGCGAGATGGGTACTGGAAACGTTGGATAATGTAGCCACTTGGGTAAGGTTGTCATTTAAGGCCAGGAAGTCCAGAAGGCTGGTCATCAGGAAGGGCAGAGTCACAAGTAAGTTTGGCCTCCAAGTTCAAGGCGAGGTCATTCCATCAATTGAGGACAGCCAGTTTGGGGAAGTGGTTCAATGCATCACTGAAAGATGGTGCCAATGTTGCAGATGCTGTGAGGCAAACAGAAGAGTGGTTGAAGAAGATCGACAGGTCCGGACTCTCTGGAAAATTTAAATCCTGGCTGTACCAGCATGGCCTTCTGCCCAGGCTTATTTGGCTCCTCACAGTCTATGAGTTCCCTCTAACAGTTGTGGATGGCATTGAGAGAAAAATTAATAAGCACCTGCAGAGGTGGTTGGGGATTCCCCCAAGCTTCTCTTCAGTGGGCCTCTACATTCGATCAGGACCGCTGCAACTCCCTTTGTCATCTGTTGTGGAGGAGTTCAAGGTGGCAAAATGCAGAGTCGCGCTAAGTCTGAGAGATTCTAAAGATGCCTGGGTAAAGCAAGCAGGCATCACAACAATATCAGGCCATAAATGGGCAGTCAATGCAGCCATTGAACAGGCAGAAAGCTCATTAAAGGTGCGCGACATCATTGGCAACACCTGCACAGAAGGTCAAGGCCTGGGGTCGACACATTTCCAACAGTTTGGGAATGCAAGCACTACGATCAGGTGAGGCATGGTTCAGGCAGAAATCCAAGCTCAAGAGGAGCAGAGGCGTGTGTCCAGAGCAGTGGAACAAGCATCCCAGAGAGCATGGACAAAATGGGATCTGCCCAAGCGTTAGATCACATGGGCAGAGCTATGGAGACTGGAGCCCTACCACATCTCCTTCCTACTGCGCTCTGTGTATGACACTCTTCCTTCACCGTCACATCTGCACACATGGGGGTTGAGGGATGACCCGTACTGCAAGCTTTGTGGTCAAAAGGGAACACTGGCACACATATTGTCAGGGTGTAAAACATCTTTAACTCAAAAGTTGATACAGGTGGCGCCACGACAATGTGCTCTTGTCCGTCGCCGATACACACGTGAGAGGTGCAAGAAGAGGCTAGGCGGCACAGGCAAGGAAACTGTCACTTTCATTAAGGATGGAGCCAGACCCATCGCAATTAGGGCATTAGCAAAATCAAACTTGCTGCAGGCCGCGGGCTCTTGGGAAATGAGAGTCGACGTTGGAAGGAAGCTGCAGTTCCCGGAAGTGGTTCACACAGCTCTTCACCAAGACATCGTCTTGTGGTCAGCCAAAGACTGGAAAATCATCTTAATTGAGCTGACTGTGCCATGGAAGGAGGGCTGCGAGGAGGCTCACGAGAGGAAGGCCTTGAAGTATCAGCGTTTAATTCAAGAGTGTAAAGACAAAAGATGGCAGGCATGGCTGTTTCCTGTGGAAATAGGTTATAGAGGCTTTTCTGATCAAAAAGCAAGAAACATGCTGCTCGTAGCATGGGAGATGAGGCTGAGCTTCATGCTGGATATGGAGTAAGAGAGAGGAAGAAAGCTGGAAGCCATGAGCAGATGGGCAGTGACTTAGCCACCACTGCCGACCCACCAACTGGAGAGTGTTGTTGTAAGGGTCGAAACACTCAAGAAAGGTTGGGAACCACCTGATGACATCTACTTACGGCGGAAAGCTATGCTTACATAAAGGAGTAACCGAAGAAAGCACTTATTATTGCATAACAGGTGTATTTCACAATGCAATGTAATAAATATTGTACATGAAATGTACACATAATTTTTAATGGTGGAAATGGCTTTTTCTGTCTTCAACACCATCTTTTTAGCTTTTTTTCTTGTGCCTTTAGCTTTTTCTCTTGAATCACATCATTGGATGTCACAGGACACTTTAAAATGAATGTCAAGATCATTTGCAGCTCAAAACCTTTTTTATCTGAAGCCTTTATGTTAAGGCCCTTTTCATGTTTTTATTTATTTCTAACCTTATGCTTGCAGCGTAACACACAAATGTGTTTTTTTATTATTATACATAACACAACAATAAATGTCCTTATAGAAATGTTATATTATAGTAAAAAAGGCAAATATTTTCTTCATTTTAAATGAACAGCATTATATTTATTTGTGTCTGGCAACTTGAAAAAATTACTTTATTGGTGTGAAAAAAAGTTAAGCATTTAATTATATGTAAGCATTTCACAGATTTTCTGTCAGTACACCATATTTATACAAATTACTAAATGCATTTATTTCTATACAAATAGATGGAAACAGATAGAAAATGATTGGTCTTAAAATATTGCTTATCTCCTAATCTAAGATCACTCTAGTGGACAACATTAATATCACAGCTTGGACCCTTAATTATAAGGCAATCCTTAAAGGGATCGTTCACCCACAAAATGTCCATGATTTACTCACCCTCAAACCACCATATAGGTGTCTTTCATACAAACATAATCTGACCTATATCTAAAAATATCCTGGCTCTTCCAAGCTTTATAATGGTAGTGAATGGCACTCACAATTTTGAAGGCCAAAAAAGTGCATCCATTCATCCATCTTAAAAGTAATCCATTCCAAAAGTAGTTCATACTGTCTATATTGCACGGAAGACTTGTTTGCAATTTAGATTAGTTCATAATATAAACTAAGTTATAATCTCAGACTTCATAAGAATCATGTAAACGTTATGTTATTATATTATTTCTTATGAAGTCTCATTTTTTATAGTTAACTAGTGTTAATGCTAGCTATTAACAGTATGACTTTGGTGGCCAACTAGCTGTCAACATAATGTCATAATGACCAAATACAACCAGAAACAACTGTTCAGACTTAAATGTTAAAGGTAATTCCCTGAAATTTGGTTTGGATTGTGTGACATTTTGTGAAACCTCAAAGTAGTCATCCTCTCTAGCTCAGAGGAAGGCATCTTTTTTCAGTCCACTAATGAGAGTTACAGCAAGTTGCCCAGACCAGTATGGTGGTGCCATTGATGTACAATTCAGTGGCCAAATAGGGGGTCTATGTATTTTATATGTCTATGATTCAGCGGACTGCTCTCAAATCGCTCTCACAGTACTTTGATGCAATACGTCACAGTGATTTATTCAACAATTCTTCTCCTCCGCGCTACCCTAGCACTATTTTAGAGAGTACTACGATGCATG